ACGTTTGTGCACGTAAGTAACCGAGATAAAATCGACCACGAAAAGAGTAATCCCGACCGTAAAGAAATTCCTACCTGCGTGGAGCGCCGTCGAGCCGACGCCCGATTCATTTCTATATCTAACAACAAAAAATCTTTTCCTTCACAATCTGTTTACAAGACCTCCGACACTGAGGGCCTTTGTACTTCGCCTTGCCATCCGACGTCTAATGCCGGCGACCTTTTTTTTTGTCCGCATGCTTTTCTTCGAATTTCAATTTTTTAACCTCCCGAACTTCTCAGCTCGACTGAGCCTGATATAAACTTGAATAAATTGATTTATCACAGTTGGATTTATTTCATTGGCTTCTTATAGGCACTGTTCTTGATTCCCAGCGGAAACAATATTTTATGTTTGTTTTTCAAGAATCCTACATTCCTCTTTGAGTCCTTTCGTATATAAGATAGATTTGTTAGCTCAAGCTTGGTTAAGTAAAGGTTTATTACATTTGTTTCATTGGCTTCTATTCTGACGAGGAATTACATAATCAGAAATCATTCGCGTCAACCAGATTTGCATATGTGATGTCATATTTCCTCGTACCACACGATCTGTTTAATATTTTTCATCGGAATATCGCAAATTCGTTCGAAGCATATCAGTAAATTTACTTTTGTGGTTTGCGAGCGGTGGGTGACAGTGTGCAGTGTCATTGACGAAACAATATCAGTGAATCATCACGCCCACTGCCCATTGCTGTAATACTATTGAATTAGTTAGTACATATATGCCACCACCCACTTTCATATGACGTATGGTGCACCCTTTGTCACTAGTGTAGTTTTACAAATGCATGATGAATGTTACTGCAAATAATGTTTTCCAACTTCTACTAAAATAACGAATTAACTCACCTGCTTCATGATTGCTTGGTAAACAATATTTTATTCAGAAAATTAAATGTGTTTTTACTTACTTTTTACCGGAAATTGTACGAAAGTAGACGGTGATTCCATCGTTGCTATTGCCTCATACAAAAAATAGTAAAAAAATAGATATAGTAGATAGCGCGCTGCGTGCAAATATAATTCACACGCTATGTGCTCTGCCCAGAGTCAACAAGTCGTCCGCGTCGACCTTGTTCGCTGACAAACACTTTTATCAGTGAATGCTGTCCAATGGACACTGTATTTTATAATATTACTCAAAACATCGTATTTTATTACTCGACTGACAGAAGGGACTTAGTTACAGATATGCAAATGTGTGTCTTCCATTACTGTGACCTGCCATTAAAAGGCCAGTATTCTTTGATTCCTACTCTTGCCTATATTATGTAGTAATTTTTCATTAATTACTAATACTCTAGATAAAGCTAAGATTTATAGAAGATCATCATCGTTTCATTTATTAATTTCCTATGCTTACTCTTATGAAAACATAGCTTGTTATTGGTGCAAGGTATGTACGGGAGTGTTATTTTTCTCGCTTTACTGGTAGTGTATAATGGTTTCTGTCGGCGGTCGTTTCCCACGATTGCAGTGCAATGAAATGAATGTTGGCCAGATGAGGTTACACTCGCTTGCATGCAATTTACGCACTTATGTGTAACAGTTGGGTCGGGTTAAATCTAGGAGTATGAAACTGTTAACTAAAGCCTCTTTATTTACTGAAGGCAATAGTAAAAGATGACTCAATGATAGACAATAATTATTCACATTTAAATGTTTCAAACGTTGGTATTACGATCATGACATAACATTGTTATCTATTTTTAGATTGTTAGCCAAAATAGGTGGAAATCATTGTTATGTCATTCATTCTAAAAGTGGAAGAAATTCTTTGCGATTACTAATTTGAATTACATTTTATTGTATAGTTTAAGGTTGTAGATGTTTTTAGTATTACATCCATTTAATAAAATCAAGGATAAATAGAATGCAGACTTATTGAAATTGTTCGATCAGTTTGTCAGGTTTTCAATAAGGCAAGGTAAATAATAGAATGTATTGAATTGAATTTAACTATTATTTCTATTATAACTGCATTACCTGGTTATTGTTGCAAACCTATTGTTAAATTACTAATAGAAACTAAAAGTACTGAATAGTTTTTACAAGTCAATAAAAGATATTGAAAGCGTAATATTAACAGATCAGGAAATTTGTTGTATAACTTTTCAAAAGGTTTTTTTAACAAATACCTTACTAAATATACTCTTTTTTCTTTCACCAGCATTGTATAACAAAAATGCATAATTATTAGTATTAAATCGTCATCACTTTAACAAAGTGTTATAATTTTATATTAAACCAGAACACGGTCTGATTGCAGTGTTATAAAAAATTGAAACTCTTACAATATTCAAATTTCAAACCAATTTGCAAAATGCAAAATGCGGCTTGGAATTGAATTCATTTCCTGGAATCTCTCCATTTTTAAAATGATGATCATAAAAATAAGCACAAAAATAAGTAAGACAAATATGACACTCATTTTCTTTAGACATCATCCGAATTTGGAAAAAGTTCGCGGTGCAACGCGAAGCAGTTTTAGTTATCTCGTACGGTATTTGCAGCGGTTTGGGTTAACCGTTACCTTAACTGGCTGTAGCCGGTGTTATTTTATCTGTACAATTCGCAAGTTTTATCGTACTTTAAATTATATCTCGAAGGACCGCTGCAAAGCTGACCTTAATTAACACGGAATATTTTCTCGGGCTAAGCGCACGATTTACGATCTCGTTGAATTTTGATACGGCATTTCGTGCTAAAGAGTTTTTAACATGAGTATAATTTAAAGAAAATATTGAAAAAGACCTTGTTATAAGTCATTAGTTATGTATATTTTCTTGGTTGTTCGGTGCGTTTAAAGGTATTCATTATCAGTGTAATATTATCTATTTAGTTGTTTACATGCGTAGTCCAAGACGTTCGTCGTTTAGCATTGACAATAGTGAAGTCAGCGCCTCTAATGAGTTAATGACTAATACGGTGACCGAAGAATTTACATTATGTTCAAACAATAGACGTGTTTTAAAGAATAACTTACGGGAAACAATTTCGTTGTATACCTCGCGAGTGATTGCAACAGAAGAATTTATTTGAATTGTTTGACAATTTCTTTAAATAAAGTGAAAAGCAGCCTATTTTTAAGGGACATAGGTTGTATTAGGACTGGATTTTTTGTCATTTTTGATGTTACCGAATTAAAACATTTGAATAATATTGTGATGTGATGTGAAAATAACTGATTTTCTTAAGGAAATTTTACTTTCACAGACATTTTATTTAATTTCGCATCAATTTACATTACGTTTTTTATCATGATATTTATAATAGAGTTTTAATTATGTCAGATAAGAAGTAGATATACTAGTGTGGAATTTAATTAACTGTTTTGTTTTGACTTTGCCTTCATTCACCTCTATATGTTATTTACAGAGAGCTTCATCTGTTGACGTCAATCTGTGATTATGACAAGTCAAGTCAATTCCCTCATTATCTTATAACGTGCAGTTTAAATCAATTTATCTTATTTACACCGACAATGTCACCGTATCTTATGAGACCCGCTTCATTGAAATTATAAGAAAATTTACAACTTCGCGTTATTACTAGCTTTATCCCGCGAATCCGTCCGCGCCGAGTTAAAAGTAGGTTGTCTCTGCGTTCCTACAGATCATGTTCTACATCTATGCTAAATTTCATCGAGTTCTATTCAGCAATTTGGCTAGAAACAAACAGCCAAACTTACATGTCTAATAGTAAGATACATACAAACATATGACAGAATACTCGTCGTATGTGTATTCAGTACCTTTTAGCAATGGTTAAAAAAATGAAAGCCAAAAAAAGAAGAAAGTCCGAAATTCCAAGTCAACAAAACAACTGCGGTTAATAAAAAAATGAATTCAATTTTTATTTAAGGATTTATTTTGAATGACTAATCAAATAAATCTGTACAAGTTTCTGATACAAGGACTTTTGTGCAATAACGAACAGTCATGTGCTTGTTTATTCCAGTTTACAGATAAAATATTTCCTACATATACTCCTTACGACTGCGATCGTTAGTGTTGCGCGAATTCAGATAACCTATGCTCTGATATTGAGGCCTAAATGCCGAACTGAGATTGCATTTCATATTAATATTGCCCCAATTGCCAGATACAAGATTTAAAAGTTATAACGTAGTATAATTTGAGAGCAATTTCATTATAATATTTGCAATAATAGATTTTTATGTTCGAATTAATTAGGATGTAACTTTTGATCTAAGTTTCAAAATCATACTTCATACTAATATTATAACTGCGAAAGTTTAGATCGATGGACGGGTGGATGGATGAACGAATGTTTTTTAGAGTTTGTAGCCTAAAAAACTCAACGGATTTCGATGAAATTTGGTATAGACGTAGAGGATATATAGGATATAGTCTGGAAGAACACACAGGCTACTCAGTTTTGTTTTTTTGTAATTCCACTCGGACGGAGTCGCGGGCGAAAGCTAGTTATCTTATAAGAACGATTTACAAAAAAAAAATAATAAAAATCGGTACTATACAAGTATTACTCAGAAATTCAAGACAGATATGTAGATAAATATTACATTGTGTATAACAATGTTTTTTACAGTCAACAAAAATGACAATGTCGGCGATGTTAAAATTTTTTTTATGTTGATCTTCTTTGATGAATTCTTCATTCAATCCTATACAGGTATGAATGAAGAGTAAGTATATGGTATTTCAACTATCTAGGTATAAAGATCACGTGATACGGGTTCGATTCTTACCTGTACCGTTAATAATGGAGCATCGGCTGTCTGCCAACAGCTGCTCGGAGTAATCATAGTGATTTAGAGCCGGCAATAACGCATTGTAATCGACGATTTTCTTATAAAAAGTCTGTGGAGCGAATACTTTTACAACTGCTATTAATAAAGCAGCTGCCACCACAATTGTTGGTCCTATATAAATTGTAATACAACTTGTTCAATTTTGTTATGTTTTGTTACAGAAGTGCAAGAAGTGGGATGCCGTAGAACTCCGTGTATCTGTCATCAGGTCAGTATTGCTATCTTATATGGTCAAGTTCTTTTAAACTGTGACACAAAAATGTCCCCAAATCATAGTTAAAACAAATTAAAATCCAACTATCACTTGTAATTTTGTAATTCATTACTTTATTAAAAACTAGCTTTTGCCGGCGACTCGGTCCGCGTGTAATTTAAAAAAAAATGAGAAAGAACTGAAAAAATATAGCTTATGTTACTCACAGATAAATAAACTTTCTAAAGGTGAAAGAATTTAAGCCTATTCGTTACAATCAAACAAACAAAGTTATCCTCTTTATATTAGTGTAGATATATAGTAGAGATATATAGTATAGTATAGATTATTATAAAGAGCAAGGATTTGTATTTTTGTATGTATCCGATTCACGTAAAAACTACTAGCCCGATTTTAAAAATTCTTTCACAATTTGAAAGGTAACTTATTTGTGAGTAACATAGAATACGTTTTTTTTATCATTTTTTAATTTCACGCAAGCAACAGTCAGTCATTAAGAAACTGTAATTAAAATATAATAATTTGCATTATAAGTCCACAGTATGAGACTATTAAGATACGTATATGGTTACGGTCTAAAGTTCGTTGCATCAAGTACACGTTTTGTTTTGATATGTCCGGTATGAAAATATTTCTGTTTACTCAGAATTGCGTTATCAATTTAACACGGATGCATATTACTCATAACAGACTTTGCAATTAGTTAAAAAAATGATTGAATTATGCACACTCAGAATAAATTTAATGTTTACTAAGTCTTTTAGTAGTATATGAATGAAATCAAATTACTATGTTATTACTTCAAAAATGCAGTACGTTGGTTAGTTATATCTGTGTTACAAGAACATATGATTTATTATCGATTGGAAGATTATCAATAACAATTTTCTGTATTCGTACAACTTAATTTTAAATTGCAACTTAAGTTTAATTCCGAAAGGGACAAGTTGATTGTTTTTAATTAAAATGCAGCCGGACAATCGATCGCCAATTAATGTCGATTACTTTAAATTGACCGCCATCGACAATATTGCACGACAGACTCCTTTCTTTATTGACCACTGATTTATATGTACAGCCATGTGACTTTTAAACGCACTTTATTAAGAACTTAGCAATGACAATTTGACAAAAAAATTAAACCTTTTGTAGTCAAAATAAACAATTTCTACTAATTTTTACTAGATTTTTGCGTCTTTGTTTCCTCCGCGGATCTTATTAGTGGTTAATTATTTTATACCAAATTCAATGTGCACAATTCTTAGTGGCCAGTTCGACCTCTTTGTTTGGTACAAAACATCTCGGCGACCAAAGAGGTTGTATACGTCAAACTACACTATAAATGTCAGTTTTTTAAAATACACAGTACTTTGTTATTACAGTGGTATTAGGTGGTACATTATGACATCGGTGTAAACGAATTTGGAATTCCCAAGTGGCACTGGCTATTCACGAAATACCAAGTGAGAACGAGTTTTTTTTTCAATGACATTAAAGCCAGCCAAATTTGCCGAAATTAACTGACTTATATGGACATGTTTTGGAGCATATTTAAAGTTCTGTATGTTTTAGATTAAGTGCATTATTTATTATACGAAAAGAGTTCCGTGGTGTGTGTGAATGCTAAGATTTTATAGTTTTTATTCGTAAAAGAAACATTATTGATTTCGTACTTGTTCGCGTTGGTGGCATTTAGCATCTTAGCTGTTCAAAAACTCAGCTTGGAGCTTATTTTTCACTTTAAAATACATGTGTATACAAGCGAAAAACATGATGTTAAAATTTTGTAGCAGAAGCAAAAAAGTGATGACAAAAATAAAGATATCGCCGTTGATTTTTTATGATTTTACAGCCTGCCTCGTACACAAAAAAAGAAAAATAAAAGCATAGTATTTAAACCGGACGCGCCAACCGTTTCAGATGCATACAAAGTCAATAACCCGCTTAGACCCATGCGGTCGATAATTTATGAGCAGTCGCTAATTTGATTTTATTAGAGCTATGAACCGTGACCTAGGCGAAGTTTGATAATTACTTTTAATTGCTTTTGTAAACTGTTACGGTTGTTTTTGTTAGATACAAACGAGGAAGTGGGTTCATGGCTTTATATCTAAGCGCAACACTAGTTTTAAATTTTAACTCTTAGTTTTTAATAGACAGATTAATATCTTTATCTATGTTTGGACTAAACACGAAGTAACAAGTTAGTATTCGAGAGAGGAGGCACTTCTCACCGGAAAAGCTGACAATGTATTCCATACAAGCTTCGTCCCCTTCCGACCTTTGCATTTACGCATAAATCACTAACCGGGTCTTAGACTATAGATGTAAAGGATCAACATATGTGTAATGAAATTTAACGACACCGGTATTTCCGTCAATTGCCCACTTCATATTGTTTAAGTGCAAATCATTTTTGAACATTGATGGCTCCTACGTAGACTATCATAAGCAACGATCTTGCGCTTTATACTTTGTATGTTGTAAAATTAAAAATAATTAACACTCATTTCTGTGTGAATTTTATATTATTGTTATAAATAAGAAATGTAGTTTGATTGTCGATGTTTGATAAGTTGTAATAAATCGTATTGTTCAAAGGTTTGAGTTGTTAAATATTAGTAACTTACGAGTATGATGTTTACGTAGGAGCCATCGATATTGTTGAAGTTTTAAATTATTTAGATTTGTTGAACCTCAATCAACAAATGCACATTTTTTGAATATGGATAACTCCTTTTTTATTCAACTTAGGTGAATGCCTTTTTTAAACGTTAATTTTTAACTGATATTAACTAATTTCATAAATTACTGACCGTTACATATTGCAGGATGTTAGTAACATGTTGACGTCATAGGGATTAATTTATCTTATCTAGTAGATAACATATTGGTAACATAATATGGCTCGCACTTCTGCGAAGTTCCCTTTTTTCATGTTATTCCAAGCCCCCACTTATTAAAAAAAGTTCCAACGTGGATAAAAATAACGATGCCTGAAAACCGCTTTTTTGTTTCTATCCCAGCTCACTCGCAAATGTGACACTTTTTGTTAATTATGTTTTTACAAGTGTGCCGCTAGTTGTAAAAAACTATAGAAAATGTTTATACTTATTTGTTTTTTATGAGGTCAAAGTTAATAAGGGACAAATGAAGGTCGAGTCAGATTTTTTATACTCCTTTATTAATAGTAATCTTTTTTTTACCTATGCATCTCATCCCCTGCCAAAAGTACTTCTCCTACCCATCCTATTTTTGTACTAAAGGAGTGGAAATGGAAAGAGGATTAAAATTAGGCCTCTGGCGCGCACACTTATCAGGCGCGGAATTAATTCCACTTCACACCTGTCTTCTGTATGGTTGAGTAATGCACCGGTCGAGTCGCACTTCTTTGTAATAGTAAAATATGTTTCGTTAACTAAATTGCATTAATGAAGGTAGTGATATAAAAGTAATAAATGTTTTCATATTAAACCCTACTAAAATTATAAATACGAAAGTTTAGCTGGATGGAGGGATGGATGGATGTTTGTTAGTTTGTAGCCTAAACGTTGAATGGATCTCGATAAAGTTTGGCATAGTTGTAGATGATAGTATGGAAGAACACATAGGTTACTTACTTTTGTTTTGTTTAATCCCACGAGGACGGAGTTGCGGGCGAAAGCTAGTTGAAAATAAATAACAAATATGTTGTGATTAAAAGATGTCGCTAAGCAATATAGTCTTATCAATTCATTGGACCGTTTACACGTTAGATATTTCTACATTTTACATAATATACAATGTAGCATTTCCAACTTTATATGTCACGAGAAAATATATCCATAAATATTAATATCCCCCAGTAAGATAAGCGAAGAATTAATAGCACCTTATCAGTTACCGAGGTCGTGTTTAAATCAACACATTGATTTTATTATACTCGTACATCTATACGGAGATATACAAGGATCTAGTTTTAGATAAGATATCTAGTAATCTTATAAATAAAATTAAATAAATTTTACTCCCGTTTTTTTCGGTATACGTCGTAAATCGATACTAATATTATAAAGAGGAAAGATTTGTATTTTAGGATTTTTGTATGTATTGAAATAAGTTAAAAAAAACTGGGCCGATTTCACGAATTCTTTCACCATTAAAAAGCTACGTTAACAGTGAGTAACATAAGGTGTACTTTTTTAATTTCGCGCGGACGAAGTCGCGAGCAACAGCTAGTAATTTTTACTAAAATAGTCCTAAAGTAATACCACTAAAGGTACGAGTTAATTGAATTATTAAGTTGTTTGTATTTAATTTAATAAACGGTGTCCGACATATTTGGGGTGACGTTGCGATGTTTCCGAAACACGTTCGTTGCCACGCGAATAAATGGGAATGATTCGTTCAATTAAATTATACCCAAATTAAACCGGTTATGTTTGACATAGTATTTCACCTTGTTAATTTTATTAAATCTTTTTTAAAGGTAATAAAAACAATAAGTAAACATAAAAATATTAATAAGTGCTATAAAGTTTAAAGATTTAATTTAAAAAGTAAAATATTCTTTTTGTATAATTAAAAGTCGACATAAGTCGTGTAATTTTATTATGTTGCCAGCGACTTCGTCCATGCAATATTAAGATAAGGTTGCCTATAATATGGCCGGTCTATGTTAGCTACCCTTCAGTGAAGGTCCGGTCGAAATCGGTCGAGCCGTTTCGGAGATTTCCCGGAAACGCGGCTTGCGAACAAACAGATAGACAGAGAGACTGACAAATACATTTTGAATGCAAATGTCGTTATCAGCATAGCAAATGATGTATTTGCTATGCTGATAACGACATCTCCCCGAAATCTGGAATTTTTTCTTTGATATTACAAACAGACACTCCAATTTTATTATATGTATATAGATTTTAAAAATCAAAGATGAAATAATGATTAAAATGGACATTAACTAACGTTAAACAACTGGTTAGCGTTTCAGGGCAGTGATGTTTTGAAACAAACA